TAAAAAGTGTCACATCTTACTTGGAAATAATGGAGAAACAAAGTGCAAGGGCTCATGGGAATGTGGAGAGGGGGCTGCTGAGAGAAATATATTTCTAGGTACTCTTAATGATAGAGTCGGCCTGAACTGCTATCAGAGAGTGGCAGGTTCCAGCCTCAGATTAACAAATCTGTCTTTTTCCCAGGTGATATTTAAGAAGCCTGAATGCTTAGCCCCTGATGATTCCAATTTTTTATTTTAATGCACTCACCTGCTTGAAAGGCCTAAATGGGGTTCATTCCACATTCATCCCTCCTAAAGAGAGATCTAAGGGTGGGGGAGGGTGAAATCTTTGACTAATGGATTGTAAGAAACAATGTGAGTGAGAAGTGTATGTAAAGAGTGAGAAGAGACAGTTTTCACGAAGTATTCAAGGCTGAGTAAGGGAGACACAGCAAATACAAAGGTCAAACCCAGACAGGACAGTAAGGTTGGAAAAAGAACAGTCGGAGCCATCTGGTGGTGCAGAGCAGAGCAATCAAAGAAAGATCCAGAAGCACCATATATAACCTACTTTGAAGACAAGTCACTCATGAAAAACGTTTCCCATCTTGGCAGAATTCATCGGCCAATAAAGAGCTGTAATGGGCAGGATCACCGGACTGCTGTTAAATCAGCTAAGAAGGTCATAACGCACCCGTATCGCACATCATGCAGTGGCCTTCCAGTGACAGAAGGGTATGTGACAAAGGGAGGGGCAGCTCGTCCCAGACTGTCTGCCTTAGAGCCGCGACTTACTACAACACGTGGCAAAAATACAGTGTCCGTCGCCTAGATTAAACCTCTGCGTGAAGGGTGGCCCCTGTGATCCCTCCTGTGGAAGGTGCTGCACATGTGGATGCACTGCTGTGGCTGGTCTTTCTCCTGCTCTGATTCATCCCCTAGGTGGACACCACTGGTTTGGAGAGCCGATGGGAAATGCTGGGAATCTGATGGCCTTCGATCTGGTCTTCAATCTCATCTATTGATGAAGTCCCACTTATCTGCCACCTTCTCTGACAGGTGCTTCTCACACTGTCCATAATTTTGTATCACATTTCCTCTACCAGGTTACCTGTTTCTTCTGAAATATTTTTAGATGCACAAAAAAATTGGAAGAAGAGTAGAAAGGCCTCTCCCCACAAAGCCATCTGAGAGTAAATTGCCAGTATAATACCCCATCATGCGGTATTCTTACAAACAAGAGCATTATTTTGCATAATCTCAATACAATCAAAGTCAGGAAATTGACATTGCTATATTCCTACCATCTAATGCACAGACCCCCATCTGAGTTGCACCGGTTTTCCCTAAAATGTTCTTTATACCAAAAGGAGCCAATCCAGAAGCACAGCTGCATTGAGTCATCATCTCTTTAATCTGCTTCTGTTTCATACTGTTTTTTGGTCTTAATTTTCATAACCTTGACACTTTTGAAGATTACATGCCTATTTTGTAGAACATCCCACAATATAGGATTGTCTGGTGCTTACTCCTGGGCAGCTTCAAGTTACACATTTCGGGCAGAAAATAACAGAAGTGCTGTTGTGTCTCAGTTCCTCTAATGACACACAACTCCCATACCTGGTGAAGTTAATTTTCATTGTTTGATGAAGATGTTGCCTGCCAGCTTTCTCCACTGAAAGGTGGGGTTTTTTTTTCTTGTAATTAATAAGCATGTTGTGTAATGCCTTATTCCTAATCAAATTTTCACCAACTAGTTTTTATTACTGTGGATAAACTGAGAGTTCCTGTGGCCAGGACTCTCACCTGGCCCTGGTTGACTAGCTCACTGCACACCTGTGGGCAATACATGGCTGTTGACTCTATATAAAGAGCTCCACCCAGTGCTCTGGGCACAGCATGGTGGCAGGGCTGCAAGGCTGCAGGAGAGCAGAGCAGAGGCTGGAGTGGTGGCAGTGCCGAGGACAGAGGCCCAGAGGACGGCTGTGTGGGACGACTGTGCAGAGGGTCCTGGAGGACGGCTGTGTGGACAGAGGGGCCCAGAGGCAGAGACCGGCTTGCTGCACACAGACTCACTCTGAGTGAACGGGATTCTAGTAGCTGACCTGCCACCTGGAAGTAAAGTTGGGTATAACCCTTTCACCCCAAAGAGCATTCTGCTGTCAATTTTCTTTGGTCACATTGAATCCATAGCAAACTTGCCCAGAGCTGAAACCCTTTGGCAAGATAATCACCCACTGAGGTTTCTTGAGTGAATTAATTATTACCATAAAGATTCCATCATTCCTTCTATATTTACTAGTTGGCATTCTAATTTAAGGAAAAGCCTTCTCTTCCCATTCATTTATTTATTTAATCAGTATGGACTTTGGATTATTATTTTATTTAGTGGGTTATAATTCTTTACCATCGTTGTTGATTTTGAAGCTTGCATTATCATAGTTTGGCCAGTGGGAGCCCCTTTAAGCTGACTATGTCCTTTAACACATCCTCATCATTTTTTTTATTTTCCCACGCAAGAGATTTTAATGGCTGAGAGAATGGCTGTCTCTGTGCAGAGAGCAGCAGCTCATGGGTGAGGAAGCACATTTTTAAGCAGTAGAAGTAGGTGTGTTCTGCTATGGGGATGTTGGTGATTGGATCTTAAGGGGTGGTGTCTTAGTGTGCCAGAATTTGCCTTCATTCCCATCTTTTTCTTTCCTTAATAGGGGCCTCTGGAGAACTGGGCATAGAATCTCATCCTCTAGCTACTTCCTGCTGGAAGGGGGCACAGATTCTGGGGTTGGCGAGGCCATTGCTGTAGAGTTGGGGAAGGGCGGGCATCTTGAGATGATTCGTGATGTCATTATAGCTGGTTTCATTATTCTTCGTGAGAAGGCCTAGATAGTCCTGGAGGAGTAACAAATCAGAGGCCGGTGTTGGGAAGAGATCAAGCGACCAGGGAGGTGGAAGGTGGGTTCGTGGAGGAGGATCAGGGGGTGAGGGCTCCCAGGCAGCTCAAGTTCCCATGTAAGAGATTTTAATGGCTGAAAGAGAGAATGGCTGTCTCTGAGCAGAGAGCAGTCCCAACCTCATCATTCTTTAAGCACATCTTTACTTTACAACAAGCCAGGCTGTGCTTATGCTCCCTGCCCCAGTCCTAGTATCAGTCATTTTCCCATCTCTTCCTTTTAGTAGGTATGGTATTTAGAAACTAAGATCTGGATGCTAGGTGTACTCATTGCAATTGGGGTGTCCCTGCTTCCAGACCCTCTAGTGGACAGACATGCATACACACTTAACATTTGTGTTTATTTCTATATTTACCTCCATGTATTGAAAACTGAATGAGTTCACAGTGGCATCTCCACAACCAGCTCAGGGCCACAGGCTTCATCCTAGTTCCTTCCTTTCAGTGTATTTGTAACTTCCTCACCGATGGTAGGACGCCAGTCAAGCTACATTCTATCAGTAGATGAAAACTGGGAAGAGAGCTGCATGGATTCTAAACAAAAAGACCAAATAATTAGGAGAAAGAGGTCAGGTATATACTTCTTCCCCTTAATTTTCTCTGTGAATTTCTCACATCTGTGCCTCTACAATCCCATTTATAGTAAAAAGCAGGCAGATGTTGGAAATGGTATGAAATTTAGTTTTGATTTCTAAAGCTTCTAGGGGTCTACCAATGGAAGGTAGAGTTACATAGAATTATGTATTTTTTTCCTTAACAATGAAGAGTGAATGGGTACTGAAGGGGAAATGGGAGTTCCTGTGGCTGGGATCTTCACCCGACCCTTATCTACTTGCCCACTGTGCACATGCAATGGTGTAATTGGCCTGCTGCTAGGCAAATGCTTACACACCCGTTGGTGATGAACCGTATTGTCGGTATTACTACATAAAGAGCTCCACCTAGGGCTCTGCCCGAGGCAGAGATGGAGACGGATGGTGAACTTGATAGAGGCAGACATGATTCTGTGAGAATAAAAGCTTGGTGTAAACTCTTTTACCCACAACATTCTGTTGTTATTCAGTCTCACTGAATCCAGAGTGAACCTGCCCAGGGCTGAAACCCTTTGGTGAGATAGGTCCTGTCTTGCCAATGGGTTTCAGCCCAAGACAAGTTAACTCTGGATTCAGCAAGACCAAAAAATGACAGTGGAACATTCTTGGGGTGAAAAGGTTTATATCCAACTTCATTCCCAGGGTGGCAGGTCAAGTGCTGGAACCCCATCCACCCAGAGCGAGTCTGCATGCAGCAAGCCAGTCCCTGCCTCTGTCCCCATCCTTGGCACTGCCACCACTCCAGCCTCTGCTCATCTGCAGCCCAGAGCGCTGGGTGAGCTCTTTATATAGAGTCAGGTACAATGTGTCACCCACACATGTGCAGTGAGCAAGCCAACCAGGGCCAGGTGAGAATCCTGGCCACAGGAATCTTCACTTTCTCCACAGATGCTCAATCAAAAGGTGAAAAAAAACCCTGCATTGAATGTTAAATTAACATTGTATTGAATGTTTAACTTTAGCAGTTCTCATCTTCCACAGGCCTAGAAGCATCCTCTTACATCATTACTGTGTGAATTGTGGACAGTGAACATTTAGGAAGCACTCCTATTTATTAGAAATCAATGTTTCTTTTAATTTAAGGGTTTAGGAAAAACAAAAGGCACTTTCCCACTGTATTGTCAGCAGGTGTTCTTCATTAGACAATACCAGATTTCCGTTAGCTTTACGGATCTGAGTACAATGACTGTCAAAGGCTAAGATGTTACTGCACAAGTCTGATTTAGAACAGCTATTTGGGTCTCAATTATTCATGAAATTAGTGTCCTGCATGTCTGCAAGAGCATTGCTCTAGGTAAAGGCTGTAAAGGAGATCATATTAGTGTGGAATTTCCTCCCCTCAGGGGCTCCTCTTAGATTACATTATTCACTTAGCTTTCTCCTGTCAGGGAAATTAAATGTGGCCCTGATTTGATCCCAGGGTCCAGAACCGAAGGGGAAGTTGAAGAGTATCACAACAGCGTCAGTTCCCAAACATCTGTGCGGTGCCGGGACTGCCTTTGGTCCCACTCGGTGCTTACCAAATAGTGCCAGCGAGGGCAGCGTGAACTGGCAGACAGAAGACGGCACGTGAAGATGGCGTGTGGAGGAGCCCGTTCCGGCAAAACAGAGAGGCATTCCACCCACTAGGCAAGTCTGCCCTTCTCTTCGGGGAGACCGGCCTGGGGACGCCGGTGAGGGCGATGGCTGCTCTGTGGCCCTTTGTCCTGGTGGCTGCCTCAGGTGAGTCCTTTTCATGGTGTTACTAGGCATTGAATATTAACTCTTAGAAGCCAGAGATAATATTTTTTTACACTGTGCCATCTAACTCCTCACGAGCGTTTGTTTTTTATTCATCATCTGTAAAATGCCAGTCCTTCAAAGCTACCTGGAGACCAGTGATTTATGATTTTGCCCCAATGATTATAATACGTGTATATACAGGGTTGCACAGAGGGGCTTTTTACACATAGGTGAGCCTGTGCTCTGACATGCTACAGTGGTCTGATAAATCCCTACTTCTCTAGAAGGCAAGCTCGCTTTGCCTCAATTTGCATTCAGAATTTGCAGCACTCTTTTTCAGATTTGCTTTTATGTCTAATATATTTTTATTACCCAAAATAGCCTTAGTTTCATTATAAGCTTTTAGTAGCCCAGAGAAAGAATCTCGTGGATACATTATGGCCACAGTCACCTGGATATCGTTTTGGGATTAGGGGCTTTACATCAATACAAAGTCTGTGTATGTGATGAGTAGCTCTCTAAAGACAAGTACTCTAAACTGGCATGCTTTTGGAGTGTACAATTCCCCTTAAAAATACTTTAGAAACAAATTTTCTAAATTTCTGGAACTACACTTGCAGGGTGCCAGCATTGACTCTACTGAATTGAACCATTTGAGCTAGGATGCGATTGATTCTTAGAAAACATGCACAAATCAAGAATTTATGTTTATGCTGGTGTTTTCTCCTACCCTGCTTTCTTGAGGGTCTCCTAGAGCTTGTATCTGAATTTCCATGTATTAAAATATAACTGGAAGTGGAATGACTCAATTACAGAGATGAGGAAGGAATTTAGTAGCCCAGCAGCTGGAAATGATTTTTTTATTGGGGTAGAGAAGAAAAATGGCCACTTATCGTGAAAGTATAAAAATCCTGGGTGTTGAACTTAAAGGATAAAAGCATATCTTAATTATAAAAATGAAAATAGAGGAAATTTCATTAAATGCCAAATGGGTTTCTTAGCAGAAAAGAATTGTGAACATTAACCTAAGTAAGATAAAATAGAAAAATGAAGGTAAGAAAACGGAAGGAATCCTTAACAATGTCTCTCCAACGTTTTGTATTGTGCTTTACTTTTGTTCTGAATGTGGCAGAAAAAGCATTTTAATAGTTGTCTAAGCAATCAGTGCTTGACCGTAAATATACTGAGAACATCTGTTACAGAAACATCCACCCTTTGGATTTTTGACTCGGTTAATACCAAGCTGGTTTGAAAACATACATGCACTGAGCCAACCACCACACTGGCCGCTGCCTAGAAGCCGTGCGCCAGGGCAGGAGGCCTGCATCAGGAGAACCGTTTAGTTCCTGCTCTGCTGCGCACCAGCCACGTGATTCAGGGCAAGTCAGTTAATCCCTCAGAGATTCAGTTTCCCTGTAAATAAACTGTCAATTTTGCATATTCAAGAAGATCAAATAACATAGCATTGTGAAATTGCAAACACAAATGGAAGATATAATTAACCTGAAAACACACATATACCCAGAAAATACAATGGGCTGTTTCTGCCCAATAATCTACTCCATTCAACGTGCCAGTCTTGCATCTGAAGGCTTGCTCATGACTGTTCTGACATCCTCAGCGAGCAGGTCAGTGCACTGCCGTGACCGAGAGCTTGGGCTTTGATCCACACCAGTCTGGTTTACTTTTCAGCCTCTTCACTTGCAAGCTGTCTGACCTTGGGCAGTGCTAACTTCCCTTGGCCTAGAGTCCTTCGCCTCTAACGGTGACCCCTCGTAGGCTGTCGAGCACCCATCTCTTAAGGCTGTTATAAAGCCTTAAGATGACTGGGCTCTTGGCCCAGTGCCTGGCACACAGCGCACACTCACACAGACTCAGGCGTTAAACAGTAGTGCACACCTCAACCCCTCCTTCCTTGTAACCTCTCAGGCACATGTACAACTCTCTTGGAGTCCTGAGAGTGAGATGCAGTGCTCACTAGAGCAAGAATAGCTCTTTTCATCAAAGTGCCCCGAACAGTTTAAGATAGGGTGTGTGACAGTAACTCATTCAAACAAGGGAAATAAAAAATAGAATAATTCTATTGTATACTTATCTTTCTTCTTTTATCTGTCTTCACCTAAAAGTACTTCATAGCTCAGTCCCTAACACATCCTACTTTCCAGAAATCTTACAAGTGAATTATTTGAAGCTAATGATTAGCATTCAGGGAGGACAGGCTAGTGAGGAACCTTTCCCTGTCTGTTGATGGCTTCCATCAGTGTCTGTTGAAACATCACTGAACTGTGAGTCATTTAGTGCTTGTGTGAATGTCACATTAGCTTTCAAGGGGCATAACTTACTGTTAATTAATGGTCACTGACATCCCTAATTTCTCTCCTGTAATTAATTGATCTTTCTCCTCAGGCAAATTTGCATTCATAGTAGAAATGTAATTTGTTATTTCCTCCCATTTTAAACAAATAACTCTTTCCCCTTGCAGGTTATTTAAGCACACTTCCACGGGCTTCTCATTTTTCTCCTACCATTGCTTGTTCCTCCATTGTTCCAAGTTCTACCTTCCAGAACTTTCTCTTCTTATCCAATGACTTTGATACATTCTAGAAAATATGTGTTTATCCATAGGGGACCTATGGATTGTTTCCTAGGAAAGATAGCAGAGGGTATAGGGAACACACATTGATTTCTCAGAATTATGTTTTAATTCTGTCTCGGGTACTTTCTTATAACTGAAGCATTCATATCAGTGTTTCCCCACCCGGGACCTGAACCTGGGGCTCTCAGGCGAGGTACAGGTGAATTTGCCCAAAGCGAAGTTCTCAGGAAGAGCCCCAGACCCGCTTTGCTGTGAGCTCCTGACTCCCCTGGGGCATGCCAGCAAGACATGGTCTCAGGTATGGAAATTCACAGGTATTTTTTGACAATCACAGTCCTCCGAAACCCCAAAGATGATCCTTGAATCAAGCCACCCACCGTAGTCCTGCTCGCCCGAATGGCTGATACGCCTTCGGGGGTCTTCTTGGGCGAGCAGTGGTGAGGTCAAGTGCTCCCTGGAGTCCCAGGCCTGATCGGACACGTGTCCGTCTGCCCCTGCCCGCAGTGAGTCTGGGGCGCCTCTGCCAGCATCGTCGTTAGCATTTTGGTCACACTGACATTGATAAACCACAGAAATTGCTGCCTGTGGCGGCCAGTGACACAACATCATCCATAAAGAAATGGGTATAAACAGGTGTGTCACCCAGGGAGAAAAGATCTCATTTACAGTTTCGGCTGGATCCTGCAGACCTTCAGCAGCTCATCAAAATAACCATCAAAACCACCGAGAGGCGAGGTGAATTCACGTGCAGGTCACTGCAGATGGATTTCACTCACGCGCTGTGGCAGGAGGTGTGCTATTTGCTTCAGCCCAATGACTTAGCAAAGCTTTGAATCCCCTGGGGGCTGGCAAAGCTTGTGAACAAGATATCTTTTTGCAATTCAGAGAAAGCCCTCACACAACTGTCACTTCCAATTGTTGGCCCTCATTTCTGTGGCTTCCTTCCCCCTGGCCTCCCCGCCCAGACACCAATCACTGCTCCCGTACAAATCAAGATTCCTGGGTCATAGGAGATGAAATGGTTGTGCCCTGGAACCAGAGAACATTTTCTCAAAACCAAGATCTCATTTTCTGACAAGTGCATTTTATTTAAAGACAGAATGGAAAAAGGTTTTTTGAGGAGAAAAGTATGAATTGGAGTCTCATTAATATCCCTTCAGATATCCACACAGATCTTTGGTTCACTGTTTTGTTCATGTTTCTGCTTGGGTTTTCTATTCAACTGTTGAATTACAAATGGAAAATCAAACGAAAAATGCAAAGGAGGACTTCAGTTTCATCTAAGTTGCGTAGGAAGGTTTCTCCTCTGCACCAGGAGGAGATGATACAGGAATAAAGAAAGGATTCTGTCTCCAAATGCACGATTGTGAAAAACAGAATTGTAGGTGCGATCTGGATCCTTGGAAGTGGGGTAGATTTATTTATCTTTGCAGTGAGAGTTCTCCACTGGGCAGTTAGGGTATCAGTTTATTTTAAATAAGTGTCTGCAAAAAGCCTGCCAGCTGGCTATGAACTTGAGTGGATTGGGGTGAGCTGGAAATTAAATTCTGCTAGGAGCCATGGAGTCTTGAACAGTCTGAAATCTGCTCAAGATACTAAGTTCCTCCTGCTTTCATCCTTCCATTCCTTTTCCAGGAATCCTAGCCTCAGATACACCTCACCCCAGGAGCTCTGCCCTGCATCATCTCACCAAGCAGCTGTTACAGAAATATCGTAAGGAGGTGAGGCCAGTTCACAACTGGACTGAGGCCACCACTGTGTACCTGGACATTTCTGTTTGTGCAGTACTGGATGTGGTAAGGGCCACCTTATCCTTTCCTATTCCCGTTACCCATTTGCAAAAGTATCTGCCATTGTGCAGGAGCCTCGGAGGTGTTTTATTCTTGATACTCTAATTGAGCTGGCAGGGAAGCTGAACTAGACTGATTTTAGCAGGGAACATGAGATTAAACATTTATTAGGCAAATCATGCTTTCTAGTCCCCAGTTTACATTTGGAGGGGCAGATCATCTAGAAATAGGAGTTCCACAGAATTAAGATGTTTTAAGAATTGTGGCCATAGTTCACTGTGTTTATTTTATGAGTATTGCCAAAACCAAAATTGGTAATAGGTATTTTTTCCTCTGGTTCCTATCTCTTAGTAATGATAGTAAATTTAAGAAAACAACCACCACATATTGCTTGAAATCTTAAAAAGAGAAAAAAAGTGCCTTGGTATCTTGAATTTACACCTGGGTATTTGCAAAGGCTGGTGGAGGAAGGTTTGTTTGTTAAGGCGTGGCTTTCCTACTATATCTGAAATGTGGGAATCAAATGAGAAAATTCATAAGGCAGTGAGAGGGTGTCCTAGTAAGCCCTCAGTAAGTAACGGCCCTTGTGATTAATCTCCGCTTCCTCTTTCTCCTTTTTTCTTAATTGCAAAATCTTCAATATGAGTAAGTCCCAGGTTTATTTTGGTTTCTCTTAAAAGCAGGAGCTTGTTTTGTTAAAATAGTTCAATAATTGTTTTTCAGTTTACTACTTAAAACTTTTTCCTCTAATTGAGGTAGACCATATGTATACTGAAATGCACAGATCTGAAGTGCACTGCTCGATGAGCTTTGGGAATTGTGTGCGCCCATATGATCCATATCCTTATCAATATATCGAACATTTCCATCACCCCAGGAAGACCCCTCACTTCCAAGTCAATCCCCATCCCCTCCATCCACAGAGACAAGTACTATTCTGATTTCTTTCATGATAGATTCATTTTGCTCATTCCAGAACTTCATGAAATTTTATTATATGTCCTAGAGTCTGAATTTCTCACTCGGCATGATGTTTTTGAGATGCACGCATGTCATTGGGTACGTTAGTAGTTTTCCTTTTTCACTGGTAAGTGATATTTGGCCATGGCTGTTCCACCATCTGTTTGCCCATTCGCTCATCAACAGGCCCCTGGGTCATTTGCAGTTTCACGACATCATCGGTAAAGCTGCCATGAACATTCTCGTACGAGTCTTCTTGTACATATATGTTTTCATTTCTTTCAAGTAAAACCCAGAAGCGGCTCACAGGATAGGTGTGTCATTAAAGAGGAACTGCCAGACTGATTTCCAAAGTGGTTGTACGTCTCACACTCCCACCTGTTGGCTGAGAAGGTTCCCATTGCTCCACATCCTCGCCAACATTTGGTGTTTTCAGTCTTGAATTTTAGCTGCTCTCTAAGGCTATAGAGGTGGCCCACTGTGGTTTTATTTTACGTTCCCCTGGCGGCCAATGCTTTGGGGCTCTTTTTTACATGCATCATTGGCTACCTTCATATCTTTCTTCATGAAGTGGCATTTTAATTTTTTATTGGGCTGTTGGCCTTTTTCTTATAGATTTTAGAAGCAGCTTATACATTCTGGACACAGTCCCGTGTCATGTATGTATGCGGATGTCTTGTCCCAGCTCCTGGCTCCATATGCTGTGGGTTATGTTTATTCACTCTCTTCACAGGTCTTAGGGTGAACAGAAAATTTTAAATTTAATAAAGTCCATTTTTATCAATCCTCTATTTATGGTCAGTGCCTAAGAAATCTTTGCCACTTCACAAAGTTCACACAAAAAAATTTTCCTGTGTTTTCTGCCCAAAGATTTATAGGTTTTTAGCTGCTTGTATTTAGTTCCATGAAGTACTGAAAGTTAATTTCTGTGATGTGTGAGATCAAGGTTCTTGTTGCTGTTGTTTTTTGTGTTTTGATTGATTTATTTTTTTCCATTTTGCTGCATATTCCAGCACCATTTGTTTGAAAAGACTCCTTTTCCTGTTGAATTGCTCTGAATGGGCTATTTCACTTGAAATCAGGGACTGTAAGTCCTCGGACTTTGTTCTTCACTTTTGAAATAGTTTGGTGTTTTAGGGCCTTCGCATTTCTACATAAATTTCACAATCATCTTGTCAGTTTCTATTTTTTAAGAAAACCTTCTGGGAGTTTGTTTAGAATGGTGTAGAATAGAATCTACAGAGAAATTTAGGGGACAATTGACATCTTAACATTACTGAGTTTTCCAATCTTTGAATGTGGAGTGTTGCTCCATTTACTTGGGTCTTCAACCATGTTTTAAAATTTTCGATGTAGAAATTTTACATCTATTTCTATTAAATTTATCTCAAAGTATGTTGATGGTGCTTAACTAATAAAATTTTTTTTCTCGTTTCTTGTTCTTGTAGAGAAATGTGATTCATTTTGTATGTTGACTTTGTGCCCTGTGGTCTTGCTAAATTCACTTACTTATTCTAGTAGTTTTTTTGTAGATTAATATTATCATCTGTCATTTCAAATAGTTTTGCTTTTTACTTTCTTGTCTGTATGCTCTTTATTCTTTTTTTCTTGTCTTATTGCATTGCCTAAGACCTCTCCTATTATATCAGTAGAAGTGGTGAGAACAGAAATCTTTGCTGTTCCCATCTTCTGGAAAAATTTTTCACCATTAAGTATGGTGTTAGCAATAGTTTTTGTAGGTGCTTAGGTGTAGGATTACTGAGCTGTATGGTAAGTCTATGTTTAACTCCATAAGATACTGCCAACCTTCTTCAAAGTGGCTGTGTCATTTTGCATCCCACCGGCAATGTGTGAGAGTTTCAGTTCCTCCACACTTGTTATTGTTAACAATTCTAGTAGATTTGCAATGGCAGCTACTGTGGTTTTAACTTCCATTTCACTAAAGACTAATGATGTTGAACATCTTTTTGTGCACAAATTTGCTTATTGTGTATCCTTTTTTGGTCAAGTATTTGCTCAAATCCTTTGCCCATTTTTAAAATAAGGTTGTTTTGTAGATTAATATTATCATATTCTTTCCAACGAATCAATATGTTTTTCACTATCTCAATTGCTGTAGTATTACAGAAGTCTTGGAATCTGATAGGGTGAATCTTCCCAACTTTGTTCTTCTGTTTCAAAATTGTTTTGGCTCTTCTTGGTCCTTTACATTTCCATATAAACTTTAGAATCATTTCACAATTTCTATTTTAAAAACTGCTGGAATTTTTATTGAGATTGCATTAAATCCATATCAGTTTGAGAATTTAAGAATAGTCTTCTAATCCATGAGTACAGTGTATCTCTCCATTTATTTAGTGCCTTAATTTCTCCTAGTAATGTTTTATAGTTTTCAGTGCTTCACACATACTTGGTTAAGTTTATCTCTATGTATTTCATGTGTGTGATGCTATAATAAATTATATTTTAAATTGAATCTGTCTATTGCTACCATACAAAAGTAGAATTGATTTACATATATTGGCCTTGGGTCCTGGGAACCTTGCCATTTCTTAGGAGTTTTAGAGGATTTTTTTTTAGATTCATTCAATTTTTCTTTGCAGAAGATCATGTTGTTTGTGAATAAAAACAGTTTTACTTCATTATTTTCTCTCTTTATACCTTTGTTTCCTTTTTTTATTTTTATTTTTTTTGCTTTTATACTGGCTTGAGTCTCCAGTAATGTTGAATAAAAGGTGTTTTTTATAAATATAAATTCAATAAATGTGTGTGATAATATTCTTAAGTCTTTTAACTTTTTGTTCTTTTTGTTGCTGTTCTATTAATTTCATAGTGGGGATTGTTAAAACCCCAAGGATAATTGTGGTCTGTCTATTTCTCTGGTCTGTTATTAAGTGTATACATATTTAAGATTGCATATCTCCTTGATGAACAGATTCTTTTATCATCATGAAATGCCCTCCTTCATCTCTGGTAATAAACTTTGAGCATGCCTACTTTTTGCAAGGTATATATTTGACCATCCTTTTATTTTCAATCTATCCGTGACATTTTATTTAAATTCATATATTGGAGACGGCATGTACCTGGGGTCTTACTTTTTTTTCTAACTTTTTATTTTGAAATAATTATAAATTTACAGGAAGTTGCAACTAAACTTACCGAGAGGTTCTGTGCACCCTTCACTCAATGTCTTCCGTCTTTAATATCTTGCATAAATAGCATCAGTACTAGAAAACTGATGCTGGTGCCATCCCAGAGCTTATCCAGATCTCCCCAGTCTTTCCCAGCATTCGTGAGTGTGTGCGTGCTTCCGTGTGGTTTCGTCACGTGTGGTTTTGCGTAGCCTCCATGACCACACCAAGCTGCGGTCAGCCCCAGAGGCTCCCTGCTATGGCTCCTGTTTGCCCCCAGCCCCTGACCACTGACAGCCAATGAACCTCTTCCCTGTCGCTCTAACTCTGTTGTGGCAAGAACACTGTATCAGTGGCAACATGCGGTGTGTGACCTTTGAGACTGGCTTTTTTCCTTCAGTAGAATTCCCCTCGACTTCATCCAAGCTGTTGAGCATGTCAGTAGCTTGTTCCTTTCAGCTGCTGAGTAGGATTCTGGGATATGGCTTTTTTTAACCTGTTAGTCTGTGCGTTTTAACTGAAGCGCTCCATCCGCTTACCAATACCCTCTTGCCACTTGTTTTCCAATTGTCCCATCTGTGTTCTGTTGTTCTTTTATCCTGCATTTCTTTAAGTAAATTAAATATTTTTTAAATATTTGATTTTAGTTTTTCTATTGACTCTTTAGCACCCATCTTTGTCATATTGTTTAAGATTTCCATATCCATCATCCACTTTATACAGTGTGCTCTGAATTAACGTTATTACACTTCACATAAAATATATGGATCCTTCAACAGTAAAAATCCCACTTCTGCTTCCCCGTCCCCACACCTCTTTTGTCTTCAATTTTATATACATAATGGGCCCCATAATACATGTTATTATTTTAGTTCACTTTGTTAAAATAACTTACTAATTCTCCCTTAATTT